AACCCGAAATTTTTGGGTTAGGTTCGGGTCGGATTTTCGAGTCGAATCCAATATTGACACCCCTATTGATGACTTTTGCTGCCACTCAATTAAAAATTATCGTCAGTATCACATAAATCAATTTATTTAATATTAACTAAATAAATAAACTTTTTAATATATCATATCTACTTTATTTCAATTAAAATATAAATAGAATAAAAAATATAAAAACTAAACAATTTTTTTTTTAAACAACCACTAAACAAAGACTTTGCTTTGCATTCAGCCAGTTACCAACTCCAATCTTCTCTTATTTTGAACACTCATTATTCCTTAAAATAATAATAATAATAATGATAATTAATAAAATGAGTGTAGTAGCCTAAATGAAAACAATTGCAAATGATTGGCTCAAAATATCCCTACTCAAAATTTTGTGGTATTTATGTAAATTCCCTAAGCATACAATATCAGTACAACCATACATACAAATTGCTAACCATAGGTTAAGCTAAACCCTAAACTTAATCATTCAAATAAGTACTCATTGACACCAAAATATCACTTATTATACATTTTCTAAAAGAAGTTTATATATATGCCCCAATTTTTCATATATTTACATATCTAACATCTAAATCTTCATGTTCACTTCAATGTTATATATGTAAATATATAAAAGTTCTGTGATATGTATGCAAATTCTCATATTCTCAAACCAATAAAACTATAAGAAGAAGACTGTAAACTCAGTTAGTATAACTGCACAAAAGAATTTGGTATAAGGAATGCTAAGATGACAATTTCCTACTTCATTTCACTGATGTGTTCATCAATTTCTCTGTACAAAAATGGAACCTCAATTCTACTGATTCTTCCCAGTATTAAATCACTAAAACTTGACAAAAATTTTGAGAAGATAAATCCCAAAACACACCTGCAGCTTTTCTAAAAGCTCTGATGAATTATACTTCTAAGATAAGAGGAATGATACCTTGCCTCATTGGAGCACATAGCCACTAGAAGCTGAAGAGCTTGGAAGCAGCATCTGGAAGGTTGGAAGGTCCCCTAAATTTCAAGAACTATCCCACTTGGGACAGCTTTCGTACTGCTTTTTAAAACGATTTTTTAGTACAAAAATTTTAAATTCAAGAAATTTTTGTACTGAAAAGCTATTTTAGTAAGCAAGAAGAAAGCCATCCCAAACGAAACCTTAATTGTGACCAAAACTCGAGCATCGGAGCGCGCTTTGCGGTGAAATAAGTAGCGTCCGGTTTCCCTTTCGCAACTACGATACTAGATCATCAGGCTGCTGTGAATTCCCTGCAGGGAGCAGAACCAAACTGGAAACTGAATTTCCAAGTTTCCAAAAAGGCGATCGCCCTTCACGGGAACAAGGCAAAGGGATTCCATGGTTTGTGCCCGGGCTTGGCAACTCTCATCCTACCCAGGAATTGGGTAGTAAGCGTTTGATGACTGGGATTGATTGCTGCTGTTGCTTGAAACTGAGCTGTGGTTGTTACTACCTATAAGCCAAAGTTGCTCGGAGTGGCATTCGGCGTGGCGAACTTACTCAATTGATACATGCTAGGCGAGAATGGAGCTTTGAATCCATTTACTGGTGCTTGCAACATTGTTATCTGATGAAGCTGGGATGAAGCTTTAGCCGAATTGCTATCAGATATTCTGCTGGTAGAAGCTACAGAAGTTGTAGATGGAGAAGTCTTAAAGTGACACTCTTGTTCAGCCACTTCTGAACATTTATCTCTTGACGCTGTTGAGACATTTGAATGTGTTAAGGAAGGAGTAAGAGAGGGTGTCAAGAACAGTCCGCACTGAGGTGGCCGAGGATGATCACTTTCCCCAACCCATCCAGGTCCAAATTTGGTCCCGGGAGGGAGCGCCTTCTCGATCCTTTTCGCAGCCAATTTCCAGCCGATTGGACCCAGGTTTGCGGCGAAACGAGCAAGGCTCCTGGCATATGCGAACTCCACATGAAGACCAACCTGAGACAAATGATATCAGGCAAACATGGATTAGTGACAAATATCATCAAGAGAATAACCAAATGCTATGAATTTTTGTGAGCAGCATGTCATCCCAACTATTTTTTATTCCTGGAGAATTGAACACGTCTTTGTTGTAGTGATTATAAAAATAGGATTTTTTAAAGAATTCATGTGATTATTCGATAAGTTTTATGCTAGCTGTCGACTAACTAATGCAACCCTCCACTTTTCTCATCTACGACTTGGGACCTGGCAACGGCAGCAGCTCTAGTGGAAGATAAGATTAGAGAGTCGCCTTAGATGGTTTGGCCACATTAAACGGTGGCCTTCCGATGACCCGGTTAGGAAAGTTGAGGTATTAGATTTGACTTATCTTAAGAAATTCAGAGGTAGACCTAAAAAAATTTGTTTAGAAAATATTAGAAATAATCTTTCTTTATTAGATTTAAATGAGAATTTAACCTTTAACAGGACACAATGGCGAAAAAGGATGCATGTAGCCGACCGCACATAGTGGGACAAAGGCTTGATGATGTTGTTGTTGTTGTATTATAAAAAAAGAATTGTGAAGTCATTGGATAGAATTGAAATGATTACAACAAAGGACTTAAGCCACTACATAGCATTCTAGAGACCAAAATTAAGATCAGCTTTAAAAGAAAGCGTGAATTAAAACTACACTCACTGGCACCAAAATCTTTCTGTCTCCAGCAGGAGCTGTCCGCGCAGGCAACTCTGGCGTGGAGGAGAGCTGGTATTGCTTATGTGTATCTCGCCAATTCTCGTCTTTAGCAGAAAGTTTTTTTCCAGATTTTGAGGGCCCTTTCCACACACTCCCTGCAACGATAGTAGTGCCTGAAATATTAAGAAACTGGAATAAGAACTGATATTTTTCAAGGAAAAATATTAAAAATTAAAACCATCATGATTGAAACTAATTCAACAATACAAATAAAGACCTGAAAAATCTTCACTTTTCTCTAATTTATGCTCACTGTTTAAAATATATGAATCAGAACTCTGAAAACATTGAGGAGCCATGGCAGATAAATCTGGTACATCAGGCTTATGAAATCCTGATCCTCTTCTAAGAGCCTCAGTCATGGGACTTGAAGAAAGGTTGCCATTAGAAGCATTAGCAAGGGAAGCTTCAGAAGAAAATTCAGAACCCGCCCGCTCTGCCGGAGGCCTGCCGACTGGCCGGTTAATATTGTTCTTTCCGGTGCCAGGAGGCCGACCTCTGCGGGCTATTTTTGGCTCTGGATCATTATTATCATCGCTCTCTTGTCTCAAGTTCTCAAAACTTTTCTTAGCCAGCTCATGAATGGACCGTGCCTGGATAAGAAAACCAATTTCTTTAGATGTTTCCTGAGAGAAAAGATCATATACAGCACATTTTACAGTCTCAGTACAGTTTGTGATAATATACCTGCCGAAAGTAAATTGTATCTGAAGCATTGTAACGCATGGCATTCGAGCTTATTAAGAATACATCTTTCTGCATATGTAACAACATACAATAAAAAATAAGGCTTCTGTAGAATTCTAGCAAAATAAGGTGACTGATAAAAATAAGAATACAGCTAATAGCAGAACTTTTAAGTCATAGGCCTCGTTTGGTTGCGGCATTTCTTTTGCAGAAGCGGAGTTTAAAGAAATGGAGTAAGCGGAGTTTGGGTAAGCGACATTTTTTTTTCTTTTGAGATCGGCAGCATTACGGAGGTATAGGAAAAGAGATTATGCAAAAGGCGTGTTACCAAACAACACACAGTAACTGTTTTCGCCGATTTAAATCGAAAACGGCGTAATTAAGGAGAAACAAATGAGGCCATAGTTTACAGCCTAAAGCACAAATAACTTGAAAATTCATCGGAAAATCTTCTCAAGCAAGTTCATACCATGAGCAAATATTACAATGCCAAGAACAAACATCAGGACAAATGCATAACTGACGCTCTTGTGTAATTCTATCAATCCAAGAAGTATAAAGCTGTATGGTAGAAATTTCAAAATTTATTCAGAACCTTCATTAGATAAGTAGCAGCCTATTACAATAGCAGGCTGGCCCAGATAACTGCTGATAAACCTTTTCTATAAAATGTATACTTTGGTATTTATGCAATACGTTTTCAAGAATCAAGGTAGCCATTAGATCATGAAATCACTAAAGCAAGTAATACAGTCGTATAGGCCTATCTTTGGTCCGAAACATTAGCAAATTGTGCGAGCCAGCCGTATTTGGTCATGCAAGTACAAACCAAATGAATGAGAACACAAATCTCATAATTAATTCCCTCTTCTTGTAAGATAGAAGGTCCTCTTGATAACGATTGTCATTTGCAATGCTGATCCATTGTTGATATCCAGAAGGTTGGGATTACTAAATTATTACAGACCTTCCCATTGAGCCCAACAAAATTTAATAGAGATGAAGCCTTCCATATGCAATGCTGCAACTTGTAGCAAAGTTGTGTTTTAAATGCTTCTCAACATTTTGCTTTAATTTGTCAGGCACAGTCAAACACAAGATGAATAAACCAACATGGAAAATCTTCAAAAATATGACATGACATACATATATAACAGTAAACTTATATCTATATGATTAATACCTGTTACCGGGTACAATAACACACACATATACACTCACATATTCCCACTATGAAAGTTATTAACCTTATTGATTAATTTTTTAACAAATTTATGTGGGAGGTCAAAGAGAATGGAAGTAAAATCATTTGAACTAAGTGGCGCATTATTTGCTATCATCTTGAAGAAGGGGCTTTGGTATCAGAGCTTTTGAAGATGATATCCATACCTTCAACTCTCAAGTTTTGGGAAAATTTAGGCATAATGGTTCGTTGCAGGGGAACTTTCTTCCTTCCATGTATTTTCAATAGACTCATCAAAACCTTATAAAGAAAATACTAGTGATTTCCCTCATGTGGAAGAGATTAATTGCATTTAAATATATGAAGCCAAGGAGTTTACAGCAATGGCAATATCACTTTCTGCCTGACCGAAGTGGCCAAGGATAACACTGGCACGCTGGTCATCGCCTTATTCAACTCCTCATAAGCCTTAGTAGTTGCTTCACCCTAATTAAAATTATCCTTCTTTGGATGTTCGATCAAAGGCCAAGCTATTGAACTGCAACCCTTCACAAACCTTCTGTAGTAGCCTGTAAGTCACAACAATCCTCTCAACTCCCTCAAGTTCTTGGGTATTGGCCACCTCAGCATGGCCTCAATTTTGCTCTAGCTAGTTGGTACTCCTTCCTGTGATACCACGTACCCTAAATACTCCACTCTAGGTTGAGCGAATGAGCATTTCTTTAGATTGGCAAACAAGTGATGGTCTCGCTGAGTGGATAACACAAATCCCAACTGTTCTAAGTGCTCCTCCTCAGTCCAGCTTTAAATATCATCAAAGAAGATTGACACAAACCACCGTAGAGTTGGAATACCCTGTTCATTAGGTGAAGAGTAGCTGAAGCATTAGTGAGGTCAAAATGCATCATTAAAAACTCATAGTATCCCTCATGAGTCCTAAATGCCATCTTGGGAAAATCCTCGGGCCTCATTCGGATTTGATGGCACCCTAACTTTAGATCAATCTTCGAGAAAAACACCGCTTCATAAAGCTCATTCAACAATTTATTAATCACTGGAATAGGAAACTTGTTTGGAACTGTATCCTTATTCAACGCCCGGTAGTTCATGCAAAACCTCCAACTATCATATTTCTTTTTCACTAATAGCGTTGAACGAGAAAATGAACTGACATTGGGTCTAATGATCCCTACCTCAAGCATATATCTGATCAATCTCTTAATCTCATCATTCTAGATTTGGGGATGACGAACACATATATGTGAGACTCCTTCCATTAAGAAAATAGCATACTCGTGCTCCTGCGAAAGAGGGAACCCTTAAATTGGTTGGAACACCTCTCCATATTGCTATAGGAGTTGTTGAATCATATCTGATGCTTCTATTTTGTCCCCATCCTCTTATCCTTCCAAACTCTACAGCTCCACCAAAAATTCCACTCCTTCACCCCGGATTGCACTCAACATGATTTTGAGTGAAATCATAATTTTGGAAAAACTAGGATCCCCTCTAATAACCACTCTCCTCCCCTTAATCTTGAACTCCATTGTTAGAGTATTCCAATCAATCTTGGTCTTCCCCAACTTCTGCAGCTACTTCATTCCTAGTATCACATCCATGTTCTCCAAATTCAATAGTAGAAAGTCTTCCAATACCTGAAGCTCTAGAAGAATTAGAATCAACCTTTGCAAATTCCTCTACTCCTCTCTACTTTTCATGATCCCAACATAAACGCAAAGCCCCATGTCCACTGATTCCAATCCCAACTGATTCACCATCCTGTTGGAAATGAAGATGTGGGTAGCTCCACTATCTACCAATACTACCACCTCCCGATGCCTGATCTTCCCCTTAACTTTCATGGTGTGGCTCAGTGTGAACCTAACCATTGAGTTATGAGATACCTCTGCAAGATCTAAGTGTAGGTGATCATCTTCCTCCTATAATTCCTCCTCTGAAGCATCTTCCTCCTCATCGCAGGCTATTAGGACCTATAATGAATGGTCTTTATAACGGTGGCCTAAAGTGAACTTCTCAGCACACCTAAAGCATAATCCCTTGGCCCTCACACTTCCTGAATTTGAGACTTAACCAACCTCTTGAAGTTCCCCCTGATCGTACTCCCCGAGACTTTAATCCCTCGGGGTTTCCTTCTGAATAGGCACTGTTTGCACCTTTGGTGTCAGAAATGTAGTGGTTATACGAGACTCCCAAACTGTTGTTACGGCTACTCCTCTCCAAGGAGTTCTTATCCTCCACCAACTAAGCTAACTCCATAACCTCCCTTAAACCACATTGTCTCAGTACTCAAACAACTTCTCGAATATCAGGCTTGAGCCCCTTCATAATGTTCCCGTCAACACAGTCTCTGACAACCTTCCTAGTCGGCTTCAGAAATATTCGAACTTCTCCCGGTACTCTATCATCGACCCCTCCTGCACCAGAGCAAAAAAATGTTCATAGAAGTCTCCTTTCTGATTAGTTCAAAAACGTTCTAATTGATTGTGAAAGCTCGTGTTTCATGTTTTCCTTCCAGGATCGTCCAGGACGAAGTTGGATCGTCCTGGGACGATCGGTACAGGTTGTGAAGAAAATTCTGGCTGGAAGGTTCGTCCCGGGACGAAATGAGGTTCGTCCGTACGAAATTTCTCCCGAGATCAACTTGTCCTGATACGATAATAATTTCGTCTGAATGAAATTTATCCAAAGGGCAAATCGTCCCGGGACGATTTGGGATCGTCCGGGACGATCTGGTTGGATATATATGGAAATGAGATCTTTTGAAGAGAGAGAAAAGCCCAGGAGAGAAAATCGAAGGAAAAAGGAAAAAAAAAGTGATTTTTGGGCAACTTCTGTCCGTAGCTGCAGTTGAAAAAGTTGACCGACTCAAGGTAAGGCACATTCCGCCTTTTTCAATTTTCAGAAATGAGATTTTTGACGACTTTTCTATTTCGAATTTTATTTCCGTTAGCAAATAATTGATTCCGTTTTGTACTGATGAACTTTTTACCGCGTAACTTTTGGTATGTTTCTGAGATGATATTTGTGCACGTTTTAAGTATTTTCTGGAAAATGTTTACCGGGTATTTTGAATTCGGCGGTGTTTTAGTTGAACTACGATTTATCTGGATGTTGAAAAACGTTGCTTCAGTACAATGAAAGTCATAGAATGATGTTTTACAGTATCTGGGATAATTTGGTAAATTTCTGAATCTGTCAATTTTATGTAAATTTTGTATACTGTCGTTATGCCGCTGACGATTTTCTGACGAAATCTGATTTTCTGAATTGAATGTTCTGATGTGATGTGCTATCAGAAGGGAGTTATAAGGGGCCAGAATCCTTTGAGATTCTGTCAGTGTCAGGGAAAAATCTGAGAAATCTGAAAATAAGTTCTGTTCTGAAAATTCTGTATATCTATTCTGTTCTGGTGCTATAAGCACAAAGGGAGACATAAGGGGCCATAATCTGAGATTATGTCAGTGTCAGGAAAGGAAGGCATAAGGGGTCAGAATCCGTCGAGATTCTGTCAGGATCAGGGATATCTGATATGTGATATGTGAAATGTGATATCTGAAATGTGATTATTTTATTTGATTTGAATTCTGATTTGTACGATCCGATCCGTTCTGTGATTTGAAAGTTTTATAAGTTTTATAAGATCTGTTATGCACTCTGATTTAAATTCATGTATCTGTGATTTGATTTCTCTTTGATCAAGTATCTGTTCTGTCTGTTATATGATTTCTGTACGACTGTTTGAATTCTATACGGCTATTTGAATAACTACTTCTGATGTGTTTTCTGTTGTGAATTTCTGGAGATTTTGATTGGTGAGTGTAATCTTGCTGAGCTGTTAGCTCATCCTTGTTTTCTGCGTGGTTTT